TTACTTTTTTAAAACAAATGTTAAGACCGTGTTTGCTTTTAGTTGTTTAGATAACACCCATGACCAATATTTACAGTGACAGCCTTCAGTCCAAATGACTGAGTCTGATAACGGATCATAGTGTTGAAGAGTACCGAGCCCTTAAAGTCCTATTTATTCAGATTTTATTATTTATTTATATTCTATATTTTTATTTTATTATTATTTTAAATGTATTTATTTTTTCAAATTTTGAGTGCACAAGATGAAAAAAAAAATCACCTTGCAAAAAAAAAAGAAGTATGTTCTTAGGGTCCTGTGTTCTCTTGGTAAAAACTTACATTTTAAGAGATGGGTAAGGGCGAGCTTTGCAGTCCAAATTGTGAAAGAATCAACAGAGATGGCCGTTTCAAATACAGTTAGAACGATAAAAATCTGTTGATTAACTGTAGAGATATCTAAAGTCAAAAAACTGTCTTGTCCATAAATGTGATTGCAGAGGTTTTGGGGAGTGGAACACCAGTAGGCTTCAGGCTGTCGGTGGGTGATTTCACATATTAACCCAGGGAAACAAAAAATGAACATCTAACCTTTGGGAAAAACATTCCTGAGAACATAAAAGGCTGAATCCAAACGTCCACACTTGCAAACTTTGCGAGGGTGTTCCCTGAAGGTCTGCGAGTGCTGAGAGCAGTCCAAGTCCATAATTCATCCAGTCACAAGGGAACCCGTGCAGACTTCCACAGAGCCCGCTCAGGGTTCAGACTTCACTGATTTAATTAAAGTTTATTGCTCTACAGACGAGATGTAGTTCTTCCACTTGCCAACTAAAATAAACTTCTTATGAATGTGTAAAACAATTACTTTATTAAAACATCACTGGAATCATGTAGGCCAGAGATGATATCCAACACCATCATGATAAGACATACCAGGCAATCAAAATGCATTTTATCATTGCAGCCTACTGTATAAAAGCTGTGCAGTGTGATGTCATCTTCACCAAAAAGGTCAGCTGGCCACATTTGGATGTGAAGCAGGACTGACATTGGTTTTTAGTCATTTATAAAACTTTGAAACAGATGCACATTGCATTCTTTTGAACTCTGAACTCCCAATAATCATTGTTCTCCCTCGCAGATTAGGTCACTGCTCCACATTCCTTTAATCAAAACTGAACTTCTAGATGGGGAATAATCTGCATAAGACCTTAAACCTCTGTCCCGCCATTACAACTGTTAAAACGCTTATTTCAGGTCGTTAATTGACTGTAAATGCTTAAAATATAGGCTACATCTACTCTATAGCAACTTTGTTATGTATTTTAACTTTTAGCTGTATGTATGGTTATTTTTATATTTATTTAACCCATATTTAACCAGGTAAGTCCCGTTGAGACTTACCAGCCTGAGCACTAGGAACAGTCTTGAGATCTGAGAGTGTAGCTACAATCAGATCTCTGTTATATCAAAGTACAAATGTACGAAGGGAGTTTACCCAGTATGGCTTGATAAATGAACAAATACCAGTGACTGTTCCACAAGAGGTCAAAGAAGGCCAACCAGCCCTGGAATGAAGTGTACAGTGATGAGTGAGGGCTTTACAGTAGTACAGTGGCTTTGTATGGTTTTATTTCTATTTTAACAGGTTGACATATTGGTTATCTGTTTATTTTAACACAGTTTAAGTTTGCCGATGGTTTATTTGTTGTCTTGTCAGCATCATTGAATATTAGAGTCTCAGTTGATTTCTTGAGTCTTAAATAGAACTCTTGAATGAATTAAATTATAAGCTAAGAAAAATGGGCAAAAACAACAAAAGAACGTCTTCAAATGTCAATAAGACCTAGTTTATTTTGTCATTGTCTGGACCTTATTTACAAAAATGTATGTGTGTGAATGTGTGTATCCTTTAAGCCCATGCATGGCATTTATATCATGTTGTCTGAAGTATCTGATGAGCAGAGGGCATTAAACTTTTGTGAGAAATGTGACAGCAGCATGGGGGGATTACTTAATGAGCCTTCCTGGGCATAGGCTCAGAGGCTCCCTTGGCCTTCACCTGCAAAATATCACTTAAATTATCATGTCCTGACCAAGAAGACACTCAGAATGACCACAACGAGATGCAAAGAGACACTTAAAAACTGCAAAAAGGCAAAACAACCACAAAGAGACACATATAGTCAAAAAAAAGACACAAATTGACCTTAAGAAGCCTGTTTACACCTGGTATAAACATGCGTTTCAGTGATCTGAACAGCCCAGACATCGCTGTTCCCACCTGTGTCTATTGTGTCTCCACTTGTGCTCAGATTTCATGACTGCCTATGCCTCTTAGAAGGTCAAAGGTCCTAGGTCCACACTGTTGTATTGTCCACACTCCCACTAGCATGCTTGCTAGTCAAATTAGCATGTGTTGGTACAACTGGAGATTTTGCTTTCAGCAGAAATCAATGTGTCCTTCCAGAGGGTAAAACGATAGATGTCACTCAACATTTTGTCCAACACATCATAAAATGAGCAAGTATTAGACTCCGCCACCCCCATGTCACCAAAACAGCCACCATGGCCATTATTGATGACATAATACTTGTCGGGGGCTCCTCAGGGCGCATTAGTGTTTATGCTACAAAGGATGTGGTTTTTGTTTCTGAGTCTTTTTTATCCTAAGGCCCAGCTAGGGACTGGCAGTTAGCTCAGGCTATAAATGCTGTGGTGTGTGGCAGTTATGTATGCTACATACTTGTCCCTATACAATAAACATTTAATAAATGTGTCCCAGAGCACCTCAGCGAGTGGTTTGAGGTGGTTGGTGGTTGGTGGTGGTTTACATTGGTATTTTGTGCTGTCCACTTGTCATCGGGTCACTTCAGACAAATGTTAATATCAGGTATAAACAGGCTCCAAGGCCCTGTGTAGACCTGGTGTTAGCTTGCCTTCACTCAAACCGTGCATCCTTGTCAAGAGCGACATTATGGGTGCAGGACATAGTGATTGTTTTGGTGACAGCACGCTAATGTACTTAGGTCAAGTTGGACAAGGAGTTGGGTGACCATCCATCGTTTTGCCCTCTGGAAGGAGACTTGTTGAACTCTGCCAACAGTGATATCTCCAGCTGTACTGACACAACCACTAACAAGACTAGCAAACGAGCTACAAAGCAGTTAACAAAAGTGAGGATGTAATAATAATGTATTAACTGTGCAGTAACAGAATCTGAACACAAGTGGTCAGCTCGAGATGCTTGATAGACACAGGTGAAAATGACGATGTGTCGCGGGTGTCCACTTGTGATCAGATCACCCAGAACACATTAATACCAGGTCTGAACAGGCCAATTAGACACAAGACGACTAAGAGAAGACACAAAATGAACTCTAAGGGACACAAAACAAACAAACAAAAAAAGACACAAAATGATCTCAAGGGCCCATTGCATCATAATCTGCCCATGGACACCAGCAGTCACCATGTATGTAACTGTAGTTGTGCTTGAGGCCTTCACATCAATGGTTTGCGCTCTTGCAGACTGGCAGTGAACATGTCAAAGTATGTACGACGGTGAGGGCTCAGTCCACGAGTCCAGAGGTTGGACATTCGGATTCAGCTAAACCCTTTCAAAAGTCTCCTTAATTATCCATATAAGAGGATGTTGAGCTGGGGAACATGCTTTACGACCCCAGGAACAGAGATATGCTCCCACTTCAGGGGCTCCGATTTGCTGTGTCCTCTCCATCATATGGTGACTTTGTGCATCTGAAGTCCTTTAAGATGCATATAAATTTGTAGTAAATTACCTTCACAAGATAAAAAGTACCATGTTTCGGGACTTTAGGGGCTCTGTAGTGTTGTGTTAAACAGACCTAAAGAGACAAAGTTACAGTGAAGTGGTATGTATTTTAATTGTGCAAAAATCATGCTGGTCTCTTCAATAAGTAAACTTTTTTTTCTTCTTTTACATTGTTAAAATTCAAACAGCAGCATTGACCACAAGCTCAACATGCTTTACAGGTCACGTCTGTTCTGCAATGCATTGAAAGTGGTTAAACAAGTCAGGATGTCAACTCAGTCACAGCAACTTCACAACGGCAACGTCCAGAAGTGAAAATGGAAAATACTCTTTATACAGCATTCAGATGAGACCACAAGAGTTGATAAAGATCTCCACCTTCACCGGTGGGAAACATTCATGAATGATTTCAGCATGATCTCTATGGCACTGAGACATAAAATAATCGTGTGATACAGTACATTACCACAAATGCTCTTTTCAGTGAGATAACATTCACAAATTAAATACATTAATTCTCTTTGTGTCGTTGATGCAGCATTGATGATGTCACCAGCGTTACAGGTGGGAAATGACAGCAGAGTGACAAACAGGAGGATCCCTGTGGAATACTGACAGACATATACCATCATACTGTCCACCTCGAAGCTAACGATCTGTCTCACTTTATCACACAGATGAGCGAAAATTCAAGGAAAAACTTCAGTGTTCTTGGCATAGATTCTCCAACTCTTTATAGAGAGAATCACTGTTATATTTCTCCACCAATTTATAAAAGTTTTTCCTTCAGTTTGTCAAGAATCTGTGCTTGTTAAAGGCAAAGTCTTGATATTCTACATTTTAATTATTGTCAGCTATACCCCTGAAAAGACACAAACCAACACTTAATTCATCTTTATGTAATTCCAGCGTAGACACAGCCTAAAAAGGTTTCTCAAACTGCTGCACTGGATGGCATGGTCCATCTTTATGAGGAACTTAGGCGTAGTAGTTTGATACCGCACACACTGTCCTACTGCTGTAGATGGTAGGGCTGGGTATTGGCATTTAATACCTTTAAAATGGACAGTTCACCCCAGCTGTCCCTCTTACCTGTAGTGGTATTTATCAGTCTAGATTGTTTGGGTGTGAGTTGCAGAGTGTTGGAGATATCGGTCGTAGTTGGCTTGTGGTGCTCAAGCGCAAACAAAGAAACAAACAAAAAAGGATCATTTGAGCACCACAAGCTGAGCGCCATCTAGTCCCATTATATCAGAGAGAAGGCAGACATCTCTACGGCTGATATCTCCAACAATAAAGGACACAGTAAATGTAAAATAAAAGAAAAATTCTGGGTAATGCTTTGTTTTACCGATCCGTGATTTCGTAATGATTTCTCAATTTCCTGAAAGTTTTCTGGGAATAAGAAAGTTCTGTAAATGAAATGACTTCAGTGAGACTCCAGTAAATGTTTATTCATCAGTCTGTCATTACTGGAAACTGTATTCTTCATATTTGATGAACTCTGACACATTTTGAACGTCCAGTTCACTTGCTATCCTCTTGAAAGTCTCAAAGGTCCACTCAATATTTTATCTATAATTACTTCCCTTTTCTAAAGATTTTTGTCTTACGCCAAAACAATGTAGCTTGATGAACAGCACTACAAGAGGAAAATTATGTATTTTTGATAGTGGGGTGAACTGTCCCTTTTAGGTATTGACCAAAATAATCCAATACCAAGTAGTATCTAAACTTGTCCTGTCAAACGATACCTGATTCCGATCATTTCTGTACCCAGATCTAAAAATAAAAGACTGTGTTGTATTGCTTGCAGCCAATCACCACAAGTGCTCTTTGATTTAATGCAACATGTGATTGGCCCACTACCACAGTAACTACAACTCATATAGTCTATGCTGTGGTCAAGTATTCAATAGAGTTGGCAGTTCAGCATGCTGAGGGGCCACAACGTTCTAAAGTATGACTATAACACGTTTTTGGCATCTGGTGGCATTTTACGCAACTGATTGCTTCCATTCACACAACGGGTATCGCATGAAGTGGTGTTGGTATCGATATCACTTTAAGCAGTGGTTCCCAACTGGTCCACCCATGGGGTCCAGATTTCTCCTTTGTCATTAGTTCAAGGTCCCCACAGTTTAATACATTCAGCGTCATACTTGCGTTTGGTCATGTCGTTGAGCTCGTTTGCTGTCAAGTAGCTGCCTCTTAGTCACTCACTCTACAGCAGGAAACAGCAGTTCAAAATAAAAGCTCTGTGCCGGGAATTCACTGTACTCTAAAATAAAGAGTGTTTTTTCAACGAACGTGACACATTTGCAAATCACTTGCGGTCCATTCAGAATGGACCTGCAACCCACCAGTTGGGAACCAGTGCTTTAAGGGTGCTAGGATTGTTACTGGTATTGTAAGTTTTAGCTGCAACCACCAGCTCCATAGGTTGATCAGTCAATCAGATGGTCGGTCGACAAAACCTTTCCTCACCCTTTGGCAACCTAGGCCACCAAGGAGGCTGAAATGTGTGTGTGCGGGATTGCTCGTGAGCCAAAGGACAGCTGATCAGCTTCTCATTCCAGTAGAGTGAAGGGGTCCTATACCAAAAAGGCTTACGACTCCAAAACAGACTCATGAAACATGACCAACCTTTATAGAAAGACAAAAGCACACACACCATTTGGCCACATTCCCTTTCATAACTGATTAACTTACTGTCGTAGTGAGGCATCATTGGACTAGTGACAACTGTTTGTCAGGTTGTGCGTGTGAACGCACGGACATATGTGGTTGCAGCTATTGCGAATTTATGCTTGTTAAACAATACCCAGCTCTAGTAAATACTCATTAGTGCACCAAAGGTGTCTTAACCTGCAGCTGTGCTGTTTATTACTGTTTGGAAATCATTTCATTTAGAAAAAAATAAGGTATAAATCTGTAACCTGTTTTTAAAAATTAATACCTTCAGTAGGCACTAATGGTCTTGGGGCTATGTGCCAGAGGCAGTGTAGTCAAAATCAGGCGGTACTAAGATGAACTTATGCACTGTTGGTTTTGGTCTTTTCATGGGATTTGCTAGAAATAAAAATCTAGAATATCATCAGTCTTATCCTTCAAGCGTACACTCACTGACTGTGTCACGGTGCTCAATAGCAACCTCAACATAACAAAATTAAGGAGCCTATCTTAAAATTGTGTAGCTTCATTACACTTTAACACTCACTGATTTTCCCAAACATGTAAATATCTTCATGATTTTGTGGCAAAAACAGCAATTTGTTCTCTCAGCTCTCGAGACGAACAACAGTAAAATCTGTTTACGAGTTGTTTTTCCAGCAGTGCCCCTGAAACATTCCACTGTGGTGAACAATACAACACAATGTGGCTGCATGAAGTGTTTTAAGTGTGACTGATGGCAACATGCAATCATTCAGTTTATTTAAGTCTTATAATTCAAAGTACTCAGACGTGTTTTCCAGGCTCCAAACGTCTGAGACAGGGATAGAGGAGGTAGAGTCTCCACTGGTCTCACCATTCATTATTCACCATAAGTGTTAAGAGTTGATAATAACTACTTCATTAAATTTGCTATTCCTAAATCACAGCATCTGTAATACTCAGCTCCGTGTGAGGAACTGACTGGCAAAATTCCAGAAGGACTTCCTGTCCTCGTCATGAGTCCTTGGTGTGTGAGATCTGTCTCCACAGCAGAGCTTTCAGGTTGTTGAGAATAAGTGAGTGCTCCATGTTCATCTGTCCAGCGTTGCCCTTGAGAGCCATGCAGGCGTACAGCTGCCTCTCGAGCTCCTCTCTCAGTGCTGTCGGCGCCCCACGCAGGAGGTAATCCTTCAGTGCACTGCAAGCCTTTGCCAAGTTTGGCTGAGCTGGCTCCTCCCTGCACCGTTTCTCTGACACGTCACATGACGTCTGGCAGTCCACCCCGTACACACAGTCAGCATCCGTCTCACACTTCAGCACCCGCATGGCACGTTTGAACTCGTCCTCAGGAACCACCGCTCGGGTGTTAGTCAGGCGGAGCTCATGGCGGTCGGTGTAGCCGAAGTGCGCCGCGGCGAGGTCGCAGATCAGAAAGCTGCCGTAGGTGCCATGGAAGATGTCCTCCACCAGCTCCAGGAGGCCCATGGAGATCTTGGCTTTGCGAGGCCATGAGGGCGTGAACCATTGGTCCATAGTGCGCTGCACGCCGCTGGGCACCCAGGATACCAGCGGCCAGGGTAGAGACAGACCATACAGAGGCCCGTAGGGGACCCGCTCTGTCATGTACATGTCCCCGCAGTAGCCAAGGAGGCGAGGAGTGTGTCCACGGTCTTGGAGCAGCAAGCCCAGCAGCACCTCAAGAAAGAACAAAGCACAAAATGTCTAAAGGAAGAGCTCGAGAAATTTTCATGTTTGCAGACATGCTTTGCGACGCTCAAACACAGTTAAGACCAAAGATTCGGGACGAGACAAATTCAGACTTACAACTACTTGCAATGTGATGGTCTGTGACATTCAGAAACCTGTCAGATTACACATATACGACTAGACAAGTCAGTGTATCGTCTCCATAGCAATGACTCTATGTACTTTGGTTCTAACTCTGGCTTTTCAGGTGCAGGTGACTTTGTTTTTTGGGTATGTGTGTGTCATGTACACCAATATATGTGCCAACAGCCGCGAGGATATAACAAGATGGGCTCGGTGGGGCTGGAGGGCTGTTGTGTGAGAATGAAAGCAAAGTGAACACGCCGTCACAAATCTTTGATCCTAACTGGGCTTAAAGGAATACCTCACTCACAAAATGACCATTGTACATCAGTTAGTCACGCTGGGTTACTTTGAGTTCATGAAGAAAACTGCCTCCATGAAAAACAGTTAACATATTGATTTACTGATTGATTGAAGACCCCGTTTGACAACATCAGATCTATATCAAAGCATCCATTTACATACTCTCACACAACACATTTTGTTCCACAGATAACAGATGCTAATGTTCCCCATCATCAGTGGCTTGTTTTTATACCTCATCCATCTGCAGGAGGGCCCATGTAGAGCGGGCTTCTGGCAGTGACACCCGTCCATCTTTGTTGCCATCGGCGACAGAGAGGATCTGGCTGACAAGGCTGGCGAGGTTAGCCTGCTCTCCAAGCTTGGACTGATGGAAAGAGAGGGAAAGAGTCAGAGCTTTTCTCATTTCTCTACTTTGTGCCTCCACGCCTCCTCTCTCCTCCGTCCTGCCTGTGACCTGGAAGCAAATTTTCTTGTCCTTGGGTGGCGAAGGCCTCTGATTGGCTAGCACTTGTTGCTTTTATTGGTTGGGTTGGTTAGGTTTAGGCAAGAGGGGTGAGACTATTAAGGATTAGTGTGAGACTGTCAGGGTAAGCCAATCAGAGGCAGAATAGGGTGGGTCATGCCTTCACCATCCTAAGAAAAGTAAATGTAAGTCCTGGAAGTTGATCTCAGGGTGTCATCTCGAAAGATGTCTCAATTTCTAAAATGCATATGGCCAGAGGAGCCATGAGCGAGGATGCACAGGTGTCTTTTTGACACCTGTGACATATAAAAGAGGTGTGACCAGCATTCCACAAGTCATATTTGATTGGCGTCACTTTCAAATGATGGTTCCCAAGCACTGATATTATTTTGGTAAATGCCTGTTGCCTCGATTCCTTTCTCCTTGTGTCTCTTCCTTGCCTCCTCTGCTCCCATCTCAGGTGGGTGAGGAGGCGAGGAAAGGAATCGAAGATGTACAATCTAAAATAAGAAAAGCTTTTGGAGATTCTATATGAACCTGCAGTCCTTTACCTTGAGGTGATTAAAGACCATCTCTCTGAACTTCTCCACCGACGTGCCTCTGGTGGGCTTGTCGAACACGGGGGCTTCTCTCCGTGGCTCTGGCTCCTCGCCCAGCTCGTAGTGCACGACCTCCCCCAACTTACAGCGAATGATCCCATCGTGGTCTCCCCAGCTTCCTGTGTACACCTGGCAAACAGGATGCCAAATAAAACAGTGAACATGCTGGACACTGCGAGCAGCAGAGTCACAACATTGAACAGAGATGTGTTTCCTACCTGGTTATTTGGCAGTGTTGACAGACACCTGCTCATGTAGAGTGTTTCTTTGTCACACAGACTGCTGCAGGCAGAGCCATCGATGATTCCCTTCCTGTATTTATCACACTTGAACAAAGAGAGAAAATGCAGTTGTTGGATTTAATGTTTGGCCTCTTTATAATTATATTCATCCATTATATTAGGTCCTGATAATCATAAAGCAGGAATATTAGTTTTCTACACCTTAAAGAGCACAAGAAGTATTTGCAACCGGTTTTGGTTGCCACACACATTTGTATCTTGGGGCTGACTGGTATAATTTTCAAACCACTTCTAAATAACTGAGGTTGATGCAACATTAGGCTAGGTGTTCCTCATGCAGTGGTAACTGCAAAATAAACGGCTATTACAAAAATCTTGCAAAATAACAGGGTCAAAACAAACAAAGCCATTACTCACAATGGCGTTCTTGCACTCGTGTCCTCTGCACAGCTCTGTGTAGGCGGAGTATTGCACATAGAGCACCCAGCTCCCCACCAGCACAGTCAGCCATGTGAGAAACAGGTACTTCACCCGCACAAAGGAGATCCGAGCCTGCGGAGAGCAAGCAGAAACAGAAAGTCTAAGATTGATCCAGAGCCTGAAAATGTACCCGGCCTACAGTCGAGAACAGATTAGTTCAGTAATCTATGTACGATATCATCACGCCACTATGCAATCACAAATATGTCAACATCATTTTTCAATATCTATTAATCTATGTTACCAGACTGAGGTGCACTGCCTGTATGAACATGTTGTACAGGCACAGCACGCCGAAAGGGGTGTCGATTCGAGCCAGACATTTACACTCCCTAATCAAACCCGATCACATAATGGGTTACCATGGTGACAGCATGGGGTATCCTATAACAAGGCACTGGCTGGCTCATTGGTCGCCATGTGCAACAAAAGCTGGAAAATGGTTTGGAGGTGCAGATCCAGTTGTTCCAGTGTCACATTCCATACTGGTTATGGCTTGTCAAGACAAAACAAATCGAATTACTGCCCGTGTCACAGGATGCACACATCACATGTCCCACAATGCTCCTTTGGACAGAGGTGCTGCTGTTCCTGTGACATCGTATAAGTTAATTCAGTCAGTGGCTTATTTTCCACAGTGATAAACACACAGAAATCTTTCCTCCTAAAGAAAAAAACGTATACATGGAGATAAAAATCCTTAGAGCTACAGAACAAGATCTAAAGGCAAGACAACACAATTGAAAAGAACAAAGTATACATACAAACAAGCGGTATTCAATGATTTATTTCAGTCTCTTTACGATACTTTTTAAATTAACTTAAAGGGTAAGTTCTGTATTTTTCCCATGTTTTTGTTTCTAAGTAACTAATGGGAACAACAATTTTTGAGACTGGTCCTGTATTAAGCAAGAGTGTTGCAGCCAGCAGCTGCGTAACAGGCTGAAATGTAATCACTCGCAGCATGTTCGCACCATCAATTTACGTCCACAATAAGTGCTTGTTTCGCCACTGACAAGCTCAGTTTGTTGTTATTGGTTTCTGACAACATTATGGAAAGGATCCCTACAAACATATACTTTTGTGTCAAAGAGTAAGATCCATTTTGTTAAACCAGAAACAGCCTCTAAATCGCCATCGCTAAACCCACCAGACTACATTTAAATAAAGAGTCATTCTATCAATGTAAAACACACGTCATTACTCTTTGACACAAAAGTCTGTCTCTGTAGGAATCCTTTCCACAATGTTTCAGACACTTAGAATAACAATCTGAGCCTGTCAGTGGCAAAAACAAGCACTTCTAGTTTTTGTTTCTAAGTGACTAATGGGAACAACAATTTTTGAGACTGGTCCTGTATTAAGCAAGAGTGTTGCAGCCAGCAGCTGCGTAACAGGCTGAAATGTAATCACTCGCAGCATGTTCGCACCATCAATGTACATCCACAATAAGTGCTTGTTTCGCCACCGACAAGCTCAGTTTGTTGTTATTGGTTTCTGACAACATTATGGAAAGGATCCCTACAGACATAGACTTTTGTGTCAAAGAGTAAGATCCATTTTGTTAAACCAGAAACAGCCTCAAAATCGCCATCGCTAAACCCACCAGACTACATTTAAATAAAGAGTCATTCTATCAATGTAAAACACACGTCATTACTCTTTGACACAAAAGTCTTTCTCTGTAGGAATCCTTTCCACAATGTTTCAGACACTTAGAATAACAATCTGAGCCTGTCAGTGGCAAAAACAAGCACTTCTAGTGGACGTAAACTGACGGTTCCAACATGACCCAAGTGGTTACAGTGCAGCCTGTTTTACCACTGCAGCGGTCTCGCTCAATACTGCACTGAAATCTCAATAACTGTTGCCTTCATTAGTCATTTAGACACAAAAACATGCAAAATGAGGTCCAGGTTGAAAAATACCAAAGTTGCCGTCTCACTGGCCAAAAAGTGAATTTCCATCCAAAGTAATCAGAGCCTAAAACTGCTACATTTGCCTTTGAACAACAGCTGAAGATCCCATGCTTCAAATGTGACTACTTTTATGAGCATTGATTTAGTCAACTGACATATCAAATGATCATTTTAGCAATATGTGACTACTGAAATGTAAGCAAGTAAAAAGGAAAAAAGTTGTCAGAAGGCACGGCAGAGCAGTGAAAAAGAATTTAGGTCAGATCTGCTGTGTCAGCCACAGTATGTGATTTTCACTGAAACAAAACTGCAGCGAGCTTTCCCCCAAAGACTGTAACAGCACTTGGGAGGATAAAGTGATTTTGATTCTCACTCTGATTACATGGCAGGAACAGCTTATGTTGTGTATATTTTGGCAGCATGCCGTTCCTCGCAACTCTGCTCCAGCCCAGTTTCCAAATCCCAACAAAATATGCACCCAGTGAGGCAGGGACCGAGCAAACGACTCTTTATCTTTGATGTGCTGTGTTTACTGCACTTGGTTAACAGCTCTGGCTGCGACAGAAGAGCAGTTATTGTTTTGTGTCCATACAAACTGCAGTGTCAGATCCATATTCACACACAGAGGGGCTAATTACTGTCATAAATTCTTTTAAGATTAAGGTATATGACTCCTTTTTGTGGATTTTGAACCTGATAAAAACCCTAACGAGGTCTGTGGCTTTTTCATGGCTCTTGTTCACACAAAATATGCAACGCATCCCCACACGGAGCTACCGACTTCAAAGAAAAACGCAGAGAGGATACAGGAAGACCAGAATTTTCCTGCCTCCCATTCCATTTGGTGCATTTTTACCAAATTGCCTGCTGGCAGCAGCAGGCTGTGAGAGCTTCAACAGCAGTTTTGTGTTATAGAGCTGTACTCTCTCCTGCCGAGCCGCCTTGTTTTCTTAAATGCTTTGCGTCCTTAAGAGATGAACAAACAGATAATGGGCCTCCAGGGAGGGAGCAGGAGTTATCAGGGGAGTACAAATCAGCTCCACAGCACTATCAGATCTGACTCCTTTGGTATGCATGTAGGGTGGTGTATTTAGAAAATGCATGAGACACACACAGACAATGTGATGGCATAAAAGTCATGTGTGCACGCTGGCTTTGTGGCAGTGTGTCTCAGCATGTCTGTGCAAACACGTGATGAAGCCTCTGAGTTAAAGAACTGAAACCTGATCAACAAAGAGCCTCATCCTTTCCTTACTCCCTGACATCCTTCACACTGTCTCCTCTTCCTTGGAACCTGATACACAGTGTTTGTCCTCGCTAAGATAACATTAGATAAACTGAATTGATCCTACACAGGGGACTGAAGTGTCAAAACAGCAGCTGAATACTATGAGCATGATTTAGAGGTACTATATACAAGGTACTATGAAAAGTGTATTGCAAAACTTTTCGGCATCTTTAAAATGACCCAGAAATGTACCTGAGTAAGAAATGTTAAAGGGACAGTTCACCCCCAAATCAAAAATGCATATTTTTCCTCTTACCTGTAATGCTATTTATCGGTCTAGATTGTTTTGGTGTGAGTTGCTGAGTGTTGAAGATATCAGCTGTAGAGATGTCTGCCTTCTCTCTAATATAATGGAACTACATGGCACTCAGCTTGTGGTGCTCAAAGCGCCAAAATAATACGTTTGAAAAACTCAACAGTAATGTCTCTTTCCAGAAATCATGACCTGGTTACTCAAGATAATCCACAGACCTTCATGTAGGAACTATTTCCTTTCTACTGAACTACACCACACAGGAGGAAGTGTGTATCTACTGCTAGCTCACCTAGCACCACTGAGCTAGCTTACGTTAGAGCTCAACCGAGGACGATGTCATTAATGTAAACATCTTGCAATGTCATGAGCACGAGCCTCTCATTGATGAGTTGATGCACACTTCCCTGTGTGTGGTGATACAGTAGACTGGTGTGGTTCAAAAGTAAGAAAATATTTCCTGCATGAAATTGCTCACAACCATGTTTGTGGATTATCTTCAGTAACCAGGTCATGATTTTTGGAAAGAGATACTGCTGTTGAGTTTTTCATATGGCTTTGACATCACAAGCTGAGTGTTCCATATTGGAGAGAAGGGCAATATCTCCAACACTTGGCAACTCACACTAAAACAATCTAGATTGATAGATAGCACTACAGGTAAGAAGACATATATGTATTTTTGATCTTGGGATGAATTGTCACTCTACGTAAATAATAGGAATACAAATATTACACTTGAAGAAGAGTGGAATAAAGTAAAAAATAAAAACCTAATCCTCCTCAATTAGGAAAAGCAAACGTCCTTAAAATGTAACATAGTAAAGGTGGCAGCAGATGCAAAGTTCTCATGATAATACTGATGACAATGGGAGCTGGTTCAGTACAAAGCCCATACTACAAACTATAGGGTTACCATCTGTCAACAGTTAGACTCAGTTACCGGGTGTTAACCCTCATGAAGTATTGACTTCTTTTAGTCTGGTCACTACAGCAGGGACAGAAGACCTGCAGTATCATGTCTTGATATACTGTGAGTGAAGCAGCCTGGAGCTGTCTTCAGGGTTTCATGTAGGGACGAGGTGTTGCCCATGATGGCCAGTAGTTTGGTTATCATCCTTTTTTAACCTACTTCCCCTATAGAGTCCACAGAAGGCCTCTGGTCAAAGCTTTTCCTGTTGCAGTTGAGAGGTCACTGCCCCAGCAGACCACTGCATAGAAAGTAGTTGTGCTATACCAGAGACGGGGCAAAGTTTACAGCACTTGAAGGGACAGTTCACCCAGAAACACATGTATGTTTTTCCTCTTACCTGTACTGCTATTTATCAACCATATCAACGTGCAGAAGGAAGCGTGCATCTGCTCATGGACGAGAGGCTCGTGCCTGTGACAGTGCCACATGTAAATTTTAACGGCATCCTCCACAGATGAGCTGTATAGTTAGTTAAATTGCTGTTGCTAGGTGAACTAGCAGTAGATACACGCTTCCTTCTGCGCTGTGATATTGTTGGCAGGTGTAGTTCGGTATACAGAAAAGTTTTAAAATACCACCGTGGGAAATTGGAGAGGTGTCCTCTCGCAAAACCAGCACAGTTTGGCAGTATGTAAGTAGTATGTTATATTATTTGTTAACTTTAAGTGAGTTGTTGTCTGATAATGTGCAGGGTTTACATTCATACTGCACGGTGCAAAATGCCTCTCATTTCAGCTGAAATTTAAAATTCGACATGGTTGTTGAAGATTGTGATTAAAGGCTTCAAAGGGCTCTTAATGCACACAGTATTTTTGGGATAATGTTTCAAATACACAACAATAAATTGTGCTAAAGTTAAAGTGTTTTCCTGTTTTTTTTAGACTAGTCTTAATTAAAATTGTCATTTAGTCGACAGGGAAATTAGTCTCCAGGAACATCCGTAATCTCCAACACTCCGCAACTCACACCAAAACAATCTAGACAGATAAATAGAGCTACAGGTAAGAGTAAAAATATGTATTTTTGATTGGGGGTGAACTGTCCCTTTAATATCTGTAATGCTGGTATCAAAGAGACCCGACAGGAAAAGACAGAAATTCACAAAATCCGGAGCCAGCTTTCATGTGGCTTTTTGAACTCGGATACTTCAAAAAAGCTTTGAAATTCAAAAGCCATTTATCCAACTTGAGTCAGGTAGATGTTCAGAGGTTATGAGGCTGCATGGTTTAGTCCAGCACAGTAGATACATGATACATGTGGGGGAAACTGGGTTACTGAGTTAACTAGATAACTTAAGTATGACTAAAAAACTGGAATCCCTTCAAATATTGAACATGAACTGATGAAGAAACAAAAAAAAAACTGCTCTGGTTTTTGCTCTGCAAAGTGATCCAGATAACCCTGTAGACTTGATTCTTGGAACCCAGATGTAAACCAGACACTGTGTCCTGTAACAGACCTGGATACCCTGCCTCTGCCAACACATTTTGGTGTGTCGCCATAAACCCAAACAAGACTTCTTTTAGATATGGTATCAGCCAGAGTTTGCATGATGTTGACCTTTTACCTCAATATAAAGGCACTCATGGGTCTGAAAGTGAGCTCAGTGGACCACAAAATGCACAAAGTTGCTAAGATATACCAACACTGAATGAACTTCGTCAAAATTGTCCATCTCCTACATACAATACATCTCCTATGTACAAAGTACCAAGACAGGAAGAGAGGCAACCCGCACAAAAAACACATTAAACTACACAGACTTTGCAGGCTTTTTCTGTGTACAGAAATCACCTTGGGGCTAGAAGAAACCACTTTGCAACCATATGAGAATTACTGTCTCAAGACAAACTTTTGAGGAGAAGATGGATTTATTCAGTTTCTTTAAAAAGATTAAACTGAAACATATGTTTGGCAACTCTGATATACAAAGGTCTGACACACCTGTATTTTAGCCTAAATGCACATATATACCTACAATTACAAATCCCTCTATCCAGACTTTTCGTAGGTTGGTTGAGCAAGAAACAGTTGACTTATTGAAAAACAAACCCACTCGTTCTTTCACTAATTTCAGTCATGATGAACATTTGGCGATAGAAGAACTTTCTTAAGAGTCTGAGATTATCATTAAACCTGCTGACACTATACTCATTCAGATCATGCCAGGCTACAAAGAAGAGGCCTACAGGCAATTAACTGATGAACATTTTTACAGAAAACTGAAGACTAACCCTAGCGAGAGGGTTCCTGGTTCAAACCCAGGGTGGAGAGCCCCTCTGTGCAGAGTGTGCATGTTCTCTCTGTGTCAGTGTGGGTTTTCTTTGGGTACTCCAGCTTCCTCCTACAGTCCAAAGACATGCAGGTTAATTGGTGACTCTAAATTGTCCGTAGGTGTGAATGTGAGCGTAAATAGTCTGGCGACCTGTCCAGGGTGTACCCCGCCTCTCGCCCAGTGTCAGCCGGGATAGGCTCCAGCCCCCCCGCGACCTCTAACAGGATAAGCGGTTACGGAAAAATGAATGAATGAATGTTATTCATTTCTGTTTCATTTTTTGTCAAAGCCACAGGGAGCCACCGGAGAAGGACTAGAGAGCCACATGTGACTCCTGAGCCGCAGGTTGCCTACCCCTGCACTAGACCTTTAAAGTAATGGAGACAAAAGGCTTTTATTTGGCTGGACAAATGCTTTACGGTTAGGCCTATTTAAATTTGAAACCATTTTTTTAAAAATGGAAGTTTGTGTAATACGTATGACAGGCAGTGGAGGAGTGAAGGGGATGTGAATGTAAGATTCTTTTCCCCAAAACCATATATAAGCAAATGTGCATGGTATGACCGCTGCAACCCTACTGCACAGTGTGATTTTTTGTGTGTGTAAGATGTGGTATAGCTACTTTTAACAAGTAGCCTACAGGATTAAATGAAACCTAAGTGTGGCTGATCTTGTTAAATTAATAAGCCCACGAGGCCACGGGAAACACTGGCAAGTGTTGTTTAATAATGGCTGGTGCCAGATTAAATCAGCTGTGCCCTCATGTTTCACCTCCTGAACTCTACTGTAGTCATTGGACTGTAGTCCATCCCCAAAGTTGTGATAAGCAAATTGTACTGTTGTAATGTAGTAATGTGTTTACTTTTCCCCAGAGTAAATACAAGCCTGTATTCTCTTCCTCTTTCATAAGCTTCTTACTGTACTGGAACAGTATGCTGGCGCCAAGCCACTGGTACCCAAATGAGAAGCTTCAACCTTATTATCCAACCAAAAGGATTATTGCTGCCCTGGCACAAGTGGGGGTGATGAAACAACTGTGAGATGTGAGAGAAAGTCTAGGCATCTTTTCAGACAAATGTGATGAGAGGAAAATGATCCAAACAGGAATCCCTCCCTGGCCTGGGTAATAACTCCTGGCATGGATTACTAATGTCTCCTCACACTGTAGTACCCTCTCAGTGTTAGGCCTGTGCTCTGCTCTGCACTAACCATTCTGGATCAACACAAAGATTGTCAACTTAATCCTCCATCAGGAGTCACATTCCTCAGGTATCAAACAGCCACCGATGGCTGAGGAGGCACAGCCAGCTGTCAGTCTGCTGTGACACCACGACGACCCCATTACACACAGGTTCACAGTCAATTTAAACACATCCCGGTGATAATCCGCTTCACACAGCACTTAGAGAGCAGTGATGTATTACCTGGAAGTAGAAAGACTTTTTCACCCAGGCCCGTGGAAACAGACCCTTCGCCATCACAAAAATAGATCATCTCAATACGTGGACCTGGCTGTGGGAGATCATCCAAAATACACGGCAGGGAGCGTCTTCCACATGAAACCACTCCTCAGGTTTACACCACAGGCACAAATGACTCCATATTAACAGATGTGAGCTCCTCTATGATCCACGGCCCCGGACTGTCGTCTTGTCTTGTCCGTGTGAATCGCTCTGATGTTGCACTTTGCCTGCGCCTCTGCTCTGTGCAGCAGCTGCTGGTTTTCAAGCGAAGCAACAACATACCTCAAGCTGGGGAAAACGGAGGATCACGGCGCAGGCGCAACGTGTCCGTCTACAAAGAAAACGTTTCTGAGTTTTACGGTTGTAAACACAACGGACAACATGTTTGTCAATGTCGATCCCCCGCTGTGCTCACATCAGTTACTTTTTATGTGTATCGTGTGGCTGCATTGCTAAACTGAAGCCACAGCCGGGTCAAGCTAGCAAGCGCGAGTCAAACGAACTTCCGTAACGTCTTTCACAATAAATGCTGAAATGTGTAAATGATAGCCCAACTTCCGGTCGTAACATTAAAAATAAATAGAAAAAAATATAAAAAATAAATAAAAAAAAAAAAACATGAAAAATTTACGAGTTGCCACAAATGTATTAAACACTACATAGTTGAGCTTTTGAACATATTAAGAAACATATACTTAGGGACTGTACTTTACTTTATGAGAGTACAGGGGTGGCTGGGGTGTGTTATTATTTTTTTTATGTTGACCCTCCTTAAAGCTACAAATATGTTTTCCTTAAGCCTCCCTGAGTGACTGGGGAAAGTGCATGACCCTCCATCCACCATAAATAACCATGTATTTTTTAAATATTCACACCAAATGTAGGTATCGCAGCAATGAGCAAACAGCGCAAGAGTGGGAGTTACCACTAAAACAAAAAGATAATTGACCCTTCTCTAAGTCCACTCATAACGTAGCATCGAGCCGGTGTTCTGACAAATGGAGCTACCTGACAGAATGACCTACCAGCTCATTCTGTCAGGTAGAAATATCTATCACAATGTGGTTAAAAGAAGGGTAGGCCATTAAATAGGGTAGGTATTATCCATCAGAATATGCTACTACCTCTATACATGTGGTTAAAAGTATGGTTGTGTCGCCTGGTATGGTTTTGGTGGGGTTTTTTTGTCACTTAAACGCACCATGAATGAGCAGTTTGTGCTAGTAAGTCATTCTGAGTGGTAGCTCTATTTGTCAGAACACCTGCTCAGACCAGGTCCCGACAACAACACAGCTGTGCTCCATTGTTTCAGATTTCCTTCATTTTCAGGCTGGTTTTGTGGATTTGGAGCTAAATGTTTTGCCTGGGACACGTCGTGTATTAATGATACTCGTTACGTGGAGAGGTTGGAAAAAGATATACGTTTCTTCCCTGTTCCAAAACCAAAATCAAACCCTGAAAAGTGTAGGGTTAGCTAGCTAGCTACTGAAGATATAGCCTACTGAATGTATACACATGCTGCTTTTGCTTTGTAATGATTATAACAGTGAAACAAAGACCGACCCTGCTGTACAGGAGCCAGTGAAGAGAAGCAGGGAAATTTTGCTGATATTCAACCAGATGTGTGTCATCGCATTGTGCACAGATGAACATTGTTTGACTTCCTCTGGAGATCCCCGCCCGTCTGGGTGTGCAGGTCTGGGTGCTGGCAGCGGCACAGGGGCTTGCTCATCCGTTACTTTTTTTTTTTTTTTTGCATATGTGAAAACCACTAAACTAAACTATTGTCATGCATGCTGGAGCGCAGATATATTTATGTTTTTTTTTTTCCAGTGTAGAGAATTAGTTTTTGGCAAAATTTTAAATGAGACATGTAGAATAAAGGGATTTTTCAGATGGAAGCCTTCCTTGTGCATGATGTGTTCAGACTGTCAGAAATTTGAATATTGTCCAGAGCACCCACATGTCTAAGTTTAAGCTATGTAGTATTTACCCTGATACATTTCCCATCTGTGACAAATGCAAAAACAATGATGCCACCATGCCATCTTGCTCAAATGGAAGGAGACTGCCCCGCCCACATCTGGCCAGTGGCTTCAAGACGTAATGTCGTGCCTAAAATTACGATATACGCTTCTCTGCCAGTGGTTCAGAGAAAAAAAATGATAAGACCTGGGGACCCTTTTTGTCTCATTTTCATAACACCCAAACAACATCAGCCCTCAATGTGTTTTAATTCAATTGACATAGGCTAATAATTAAAAAGTAAAACCTGACTCCATGGATGTTGCTATTCTGCATATTATACTCTAGACACTGTGCCTTGGAAATATTTTAAGGTGGGGAAAAAATTGGGCATAGGAGGAGGATGGGTGGGGGATGGGAGGGAAGGGCTGTTGTATGATATAAGGTATTACTGTAATCGCCTCAGAGTCATGTCTACTTTTCTTGTTGTGTCTGCCCAACCCTGCTATTTTTTTTTTTTTTCCTTTTTGAAAATCATAATAAAAATATTTTGAAATTAAAAAAATGGAATATCTGACAACAATGTCTGTTGTTACAGATTCTGGCTCTGATAATTGGTGTACATTTGGCAATTTTTTAAACAAAGCATGCCTTTCAAACCCTCCATCAGGAATTGAGATTCAGAGAATATTTGAAATAAATACAAAATATAACCATATAAAGTTATATGTCCCACCCCTAAGCCAAAATAAAAAACTAAAGTCCCTGCCCAGGGCTTAAAATATTTCTGATATGCCTACTTCATTAAATTTAATTTAATTTAATTAATTTAATTTATACACTTTATTTTAGCACCACCCCTTCCCCCCTCATTAGTAACGAACAGTCCCTGGATCTGGTAAAATGTCTGACCATTAATTTATAATGTTGACGTCAGTTTGTATTTTATCTACACGTACAGAAAAAAAGCAGTGATCAATCAGAAAAAGTAGACGTTTTCAGGATGTCAATCAAATGGATGAAATGTTTGTCAACGTGGATTCACTGCTGCCATAAATAATTCTGAGTATTGGGCTGTGATATTGTGTTGTTGTTATTATTATTACTATTATATCTCTACGGTATTGTGTGGCTGCATTGCTGAATTCTGAAACTACTACTAAGTAGCAAGAATTAATAAAACAAACTTCCGTTAAGTTTTCACAATAAAAGCGTCTTGTTCATGACCGGAAAATGGACTACCGAGTGATCATAAGTTTACCAAACACTACCCTAGTCGAACTTTTGAACATTTAAATAAATGTAGCCTGTGTTTAATCAAGGAATTGTTCATTGTTCATTTGTAATGCTTACAACGTTAGTTTGTATTTTATCCACACCTACAGAAAAAAGCAGTGATCAATAAAGACAAAAAGCATACGTTTTAAGTTTTCAGGATGTTTCAAATTGACGAAATGTTTGTGAACGTGGATCAACCGCTGCCCTGAAATCAATAAATCATTTTGAGTATTGTACTGTGAGTACTGTGTTATCATTATTATTATATATTTATATGGTATTGTGTGGTTGCATTGCTTGAGCAAAACAAACTTCCGCCAAGTCTTTCACAATAAACCCCCTCTTGTATTAAGCAGAGTCCAACTTCCGGTCATAGCGTCCACAATAAACGCTTGACCTGACGACCACCACACGATGTCGTAGCAGCGTGATCACAAGTTTATCAAACACTTGTCGAACTTTTAAACGTTTTAACAAACATATGTTAATCAAGGAACATATTTGACCGTTAATTTATAATGCTTACAACATTAGTTTGTATTTTATCCACACTTACAGAGGAAATTCCGCAGTAAACGTGTATTGCTCGATGAAAATAGTATCTCCTGTACTTCTTTAAGGGGCGGATATGTTGTGTTTAGTTAGTGCCCTGCCTACAATTTCAAATGTTTGAAAAAAGGTGAACGCAGCCTCGTTCAGACACTTCCCATAATGCACTCCCCGTCCATCAGCGGGAAAGCAAAATGGCGAATATTCAGGGAACGTTTGTTATCTTGTGAAGAAGGCACGAGCCCCGCAAGTTTCCGCGATATACTTTGAAATAAATTCAACGAGAGAAGAAACCGGAGAGCAGCGGTCATTCCTGTTTAGTTATTTTGTCGTACGAGTCGTTTGTAGAAGCGGAGGTGACCGAATGAGGTATTGTTGTCATCTGTTTTCATCCTGGTGGGGGGGTGTGGGTCCGACGCCTGCGACCTCTTCGGGGGTTACCGCTCCGCATGCGGATTATTCATGCGAAGAAACGGCCCGACTGTTTGCTGATTCATGTACAAGACATTTTAGTATGAAATGTTGTCTCTAGTTGCCCCTTTATCCTCGCTGGCAGCTAATGTTGACCATGTTCACTCATTATCCGAACAAAGGGGATCTCGGACTGACCGACAGTGGGTAAAGGGAAATAGAAAAATTAAGTCTATAATCTCTAAAATAACCTAAAGAATAATATTTATGCAGCAGAATATGAAAATATTAAGTGCTAGATTTGTTTAAATACAACTGACAAATGCACATTCAGGTGTCAGTTAATATGTAGCTTCAAAATCGATAAGTTGTGAGTGTATGTATGTATGTGTGTGTGTGTGTGTGTGTGTGTGTTTAACACCATTTAAGTCCAAACATCTACAGAAATATAGAGAGGAGTAGGAGGAAAAGAAAGAGATACAGTCAGGTCCTAAAACAGAAAACACACAAATAAATAAAGTAACAAAAAACCCTTGCATCATCATCATCATAATCATAATGATACATTTAATTCCAAAAGGTGTCTCAAAACACCCAAGGTCACTGTACAGAGCATAGAATAACAGCCAGAGCAAAATGCATGACTTGGAAAACACATGTTTTTACTGGGATGAAATCTGTTAAAAAGAAGGGTGGGCATGGGGTGCAGAGGGTACAGGGTACAGTCAATATTAAAGTGTATAGGCCAGTTTGAACAGGTGAGTTATGAGATGGGATTTGAAGGATGTTATGGTGTGGGACTGTGGAATAAGTGGAGGTAGGGAGTTGCAGAGCCTGAGGGCAGTGCAGCTAGAAGCCCTGGCACCCATGGTGATGAGGTGGGAGGTGGGGGTGGTTAGGAAACCAGCAGAGGAAGAGAGCAGGGAGTGGGAGGTGGGAGGTGGTGAAACCAGCACAGGAAGAGAGCGGCGAGTGGGAGGTGGGGGCTAGATTGTGGAGGGCTTTGAAGGTGAGCAGCAGAGTTTGGAATGATTTGACGTCTGTTAATGTGTTTGGTGGGAAGGCCAGAGAGAGCTGCATTACAGCAGTCAGTATGAGATGTGACAAATGTATGGACCAAGACTACAGTGATGGGTGGAGTCTGGGTAATATTCTTAATGTGTGGTTCGAATGAAAGAGTGCTGTCCAGGATGACACTGAGGCTCTTGATGTGGCTGGAGAAGGGTACAGGGAAGTTATTAATGATGATGTGTGGGACGTGGGTGCTTTGGATTTCGACCAGGATGTTTTTGCAACCAATGAGCAGGGCCTTGGTTTTACTGCCGTTGAGCTTCAGAAAGTTCCTGCTTATCCAACTCCTGATGTCCTCAAGGCAGGTGGTGAGGGAGGTGGGAGGAAGGGCAGTGGAGGGTTTAGATGTTTATTTGTTTATTTAAAAGAGGGCAGGGGTATTGTTTAGATGAGATGTAGACCTGTGTGTCATCTGCATAGCAATGGAAATGACCACCATGGTGACGGAGGATTGGTAGATGATAAATAAAAGTGCACCCAAAACCCCAAAATCATAGTGAAATTAAGTACATACAGGACAGACTGTCTACAGCAGGGGTGTCTAACTCATTTTAGTTCATGGGCCTCATTCAGCTGTTTGTTCTCAAGCGGGCCGGACCAGTGTAAAGACTGTAGAGTACCCTAATGTAAAATCTATTGATTGAGCTGCTGAGGGTGCATCAGATGTTTTCCAGCTAGATATTCTGCATAACATCTTTGATCACTGGCTGTGTGATAGAGGCGTTACATCCTTCCATTTAAGTAGAATTGAGTAGCTAAAATGGAGGAAAAGTCAATGACCTGTAAGAGGGCAGGGGTATTGGTATTTACCAAAAATACCAATTGTAAGAGAAGGCATAACATTACAGCCACAAGCCTTGGAGATAGTGTCAAAAAATGACAACCAGAAAGGGGCAAGCTTGAGGCAAGCCCACAACATATGGTAGATGGTCGCCGAGGTCTGTTTACACCTGTAACATATCTTCCTGAGACCGTGCGTCGTCCTATGAGGACATCACATTTTGGGTTTCCTGCAGCTTATACTTCATTCTGCTTAACTTAGACCTGTTGTCCTCGTTTATGGACACGTTTTTGTCCCATCTAGTGGTAGTGAGAGCAAAATACTCTAATCCATGTAAAAACAAGATGGCAGCCATCTTTGCAAAGTCAGTCTGCAGCCGATCCGGACACAAACGTGGACAAAACCTGATCAGATTAAATGGTTGAAACTTGTTTATTTATGATTAATACTGTTTGTAGTTTGATATGACAACAGATTCGACCAATTTTATCCACAGTAAGAAGCTAAGACACTGTTAATTAGGAAGAACTCGTTTAAGGACACTTGGAATTTATAATCAGCCCGTTTATGGTTGACAATGTTTAGCTTTTTATACTCATCAGGTCCTATTGATCCCAAATAGCTTACGTTCGGGAATGCGCTTGCAAGTTTAGCTTTAGAGAAGTGTAGCTGATGCCTTGACCGAACAGAGGATGAATGAACCATAAAGGAGCCACGTCCCATTCCATATCTGACAGCAGTACCTCAACATCGTCCTCCCATTGTTGTCGAATATGAGATATAGAGAGATTATGTCTAGTCGTGATCTTAGTATAAATACCTTTTGTGTTTATTTTAGTTTTTGACATTACTCAGCATTGCCCTGCAGACATCTCACTGACTGCAGGGTCTGCGTTAATTACCTATTAGCACTAATTATGAGCATAATCACCTGTTGTTTGTATCCACTGGAGGGGAAATGGCATGCTTTTATTTTGAGCCATTGTTTTGTAAGCTCTTCTGTGACCATGCAGTGTATTCTTGTATTTTCCATTACACATACAGGACAGAGATTCACACACATATCTGCACATGATTCCCATTGGCTGTTATAAATGAGTTTCACTGCTGTCCTAATTATAGTGTTGATTGTAGTATGATCATTTTTAAGCCACAGAGGTGTTGTTATTGAGGGACTAAGGACAGACTGTGTAGTATGCACCAAGCACACTGTTGGCAGCACGGCACATAGCCTGGGAATTGATGATTACGCAGATTGATATATCACCTGAAAATGCTGTTAAATGTGGTTCACCTCTTTCCCCATTGTAAATTCATCTCTCCCTGTTCTTTCAGAGACTCAGGGGTTGTGGATCACCTGTCTGTCCATCACAGAGCTCTCCCCCAGCGGCAGCAGAAGGCTGTGTCCCCTCCCCCCAAACAACTCTCTGCTCTGGGAGAGTATGGGGAGGACAGCATGTCTGACCGGTTCACAGAGGGACAGGTCGTCTTGGCCCGGTGGTCAGATGGTTTGTCCTACTTGGGGAAAGTCAACAAGGTTAGTATGAGGGAAACACTATCATAGTGTCATCACATACTCCAGTGAAGCAGATGTTCAAAAAAATGGAAACTGGAGGCCATCAGCTGCAAACGTTTGATAGTTTTTTGGCCATTTTGTTTCAACTAATTTTACAAAACCTCAGGTGTTACTGAGATTATGCTTAGCAGTTTCGTCATAAAGTCTACCTGGCAAAATCCTCTAAATTAGGCAGATGTGATATGAAACATGTTATCTCATATCTCACTGGACTAAAGTGAAAGTGTGCGAGGCCTGAGCAGTATATTTAGGCTTTGAGAACAGTGTGGTGTTAAGGAAGACATTCACCCCTATTTTTGTTTTCTCCTTCAGATAGATCGGGACAAGCAGCGATGCTTTGTGCTTTTTGAGGATCATTCAAAGTCGTGGGTTCTGTGGAAGGATATTCAGACAGGTAATTCCTTCAACTTCAAGATTTACAGGTCAGTAAAAGTATCTGGGTCTCACAGTAAAATAAAAATGCAGTCCATGATCATTTGCAGGTAATGTAAGGGACATCCATGCTTTAATGGCCGGCAGCATTTTTGCACTCTAGCTTCGACAGTTCAAAATCGATTTTGTTCAAATTCTCGGAAGGGCATTGTCCTGACCACACCCCTGTCTGCTATCGCCCGCATTACTTATCTCCCCACTTGTTGCTGGCAGTTAACTGTCTGCAGTGTCTGGCATCAATTCAGCATAAGTTCACTGCCCACTTGTGACAATGACCACAGGGGTGATACACAGAGATGCTGGGGTCTGTTCACCTCCAGATTAGTCTGTTAAAATGTACATATGACACAGACAGAGTTGCTTTATTATAAAGCACAACATAATGTGAGATAGATTACAAAAGGAGACATATTTTTACAAATATCCACCATTTGAGTTTATATTTGTTTTTTGTTCTTGACTGATTTTACATTGGGCTGATTCACATGTTGCTGCACAGCTGCATGAACACAGTGTTACACAGCAGCTAAAAGCCTTGTTTTCTGCTGACCTCCAGTGGTTGAAGATCTCACTTTGCTGCAGCGATGCAGAAATTTACCACCAGGCTCAGGTTATTGTTCGAAGTGTCTGACAGCATTATCAAAAGGATCCTGACAGAGATAGAACTTATTAACCACTAATATAACCAGACTCCATTTATATGAACAGTAAAACACGTCTCATTCAAAGTCTACCGAAACAAAATGAACTCACCAAAGCCGTCTTGGTTTTTCTTTCCACTGCCCCAACAATCATCAACTTTTGGTTTGGATGATATTTTTTCTAGTGAAAGATTGCGTATCTTATCTTTGCAATTTTAAGATAATGGAAAGAAACACACAGATGAACTGTTAATGTTTATTTTTGAATATCGTGTAGCCTTTGTAAATGTTTGTGTTATCGAGAGCTGCTTTGTGGAGGCACCTGTTGCTAGGCACATGTTGGTCTCTTTCTTTTTTTGAGCCATGCACTGTTAATATTTGGTAACATAATTGTGCTGAAGTGCTGAAACAGATCGGCGGTATTACCTTTGGTCACTGAAACAGTTTTTCTGCAGCGTTTACATTTGATTTCTTTCTGTTTACTGTCGTCTTCACGAAAGCCAAAATGTGTCCAAACGATGGACTTGGCTTTTTATTTCTCTTTGGCTCGGCGCTTGCATCCTCCTCCATGTTGCTTCCAGGTCGTGGATTGGAGAGAGTCACATGACTAAACACGCAGTAGTACATTTTTAAAGGGACAGTACATGAACACACTCAGTGGGAAAAGTATTACAGACTCAATATGTGCTCAAAATGACTGTTTATTTAAATGGAGTCTGGAGCTCTGATGGTGGTGATTTCATGGCTGTTTCTGCTTAAACAAAAAGGATCTTAATCTTTAACTAAAGGTCTGCCTCCTTCAGGGATCCTTTTCATTATGTTGTCAGATACTTACAATAACAATCTGAGCCTGTCAGTGGCAAAAACAAGTTCATTTAGTGGACGTAAATTGAAAGTGTACATATGCCCTACGTGGCTACATTGCATTCTGTTTCGCCGCCGCTGGCTGCAAAGCTCCCGCTCATTTCCAGACACAGTTTCAAAACTGTTGTTCCCATTCGTCAATTCGACACAAAAGCAAGTAAAAATAGGGTCCAGGTTGAAAAATCCCAAAGTTCCCCACTAAAACACTACTTGAGGTGCTGGCTTACCTTTACTCTGTTGCAACTTTGCTTTTGTCCATTTCAGAGAACGAAGGTGATGATGAGGATGACGACGATGACATTGTGTGCTCTATCTGCCAGGATGAAACTTCAGATGAACCCAATGAAATTGTCATTTGTGACAATTGTGGACAAGGTACTGTTTATTGTTTGTGATGCTGTCATACCTAATATTGAACAGAGCAGTACGTGCAGCTCTTTTATGTCAGCCTCTCTTTTCTAAACAGCTAGTCTTCTTAATTATCTGTTTTTTGTTCATCCACTTATTGAACTCTGTTCATTGTCCTTTAGGCTACCATCAGCTGTGCCACACCCCCATCATTGATGCCGCAGTTGTTGACTCAAAAGACAAGTGGATCTGCTCAGAGTGCGAGCTCGCTTCTATGCCTAAGGTACAGCTTGTGTTTTGAGTAAAGATACCTTTAGTTAAATGTATGAGTTTGATTCAATGAGCATGTATTCATGATAGCTCTTTTGTGAGACTCTATTTGCTCTGCTTGAACTATAAAATAGAAGATAATCTTTGGGGTAAATACTGTAGGTGTGTACATAGTATTAAGTTGGGTTAAACATGCTTTTTGTCTGTGTGCTTCACAGAGGGGTGGTGCCCATGTGAGGGGAACGTCTACTAAAGCTTTTCCACAGCACGAACAGCAGCAGCATGTGGTGCTGCACCTGTCCTTCCCATATGGTCTGGACAAACTGGATTGGGACCCGGACCACAGGACTAACATCCAGCAGTGCTACTGCTACTGTGGAGGTCCAGGAGAGTGAGTAACACATTACCTACTGTGAAGAACACACAAAAAAATCGTAGGAAACAGTTGACCCTTTGCTAAATCCCGCCCTCGGACGCAGACTGGCCACTATAATGTAGCATTGGCCCGGCTCAGACCAGGGTCCGACGACAACACAGCTGTGCTCCATTGACTCTAATGCAGTCGTTTCAGATTTCCTTCATTTTCAGGCTGGTTTTGTGGATTTGGAGCTAAATGTTGTGCCTGGGACACGTCGTGTATTAATGATACTTGTTACCTGGAGAGGTTGGAAAAAGATATACGTTTCTTCCCTGTTCCAAAACCAAAATCAAACCCTGAAAAGTGTAGGGTTAGCTAGCTAGCTACTGAAGATATAGCCTACTGAATGTATACACATGCTGCTTTTGTTTTGTAATGATTATAACAGTAAAGAAGACTGATCCTGCTGTACAGGAACCAGTGAAGGGAATCAGTTTTTGCTGATATCCAGCCAGCTGTGTGTCATCGCATTGTGCACAGATGAACGTTGTTTGACTTCCCCCAGAGATCCCTGCCTGTGGGGGTTGAAGCCAAACACTGTTCATCTGCACACACTGTGATGCCACACAGCTGGTTCAATATCAGCGAAGTTTCCCTTTATATTCATTGTCTTGTGTGGCGATCAGCAGTGATGTGGTGGTTCACTTTTACACTGTGATCTGTAGCCTATAGTTCGGCTTTAGCTTCTAACTGTCTTTGTCTTTTTAACCTGTTGTTGCTGCTGAGTCAGTTTGACATCCTGGATATATCCTTCAAACACAGACTGTAGACCCCTCTGTCTGCTTCTCTCTGGAATCACTGTTTCATTTTTCCAAAAATATGATCATATCTCTTTAAGGAGTGCAGTTAGTTACAGTGTGGGCTCCATGCTTACGACTACCATCACAAAGGGGCGGGGCTTAGCGAAAGGTCAGTTGCCTACATGCTCCGTGTCAATCACCATAACCACGCTCTCTTTCTCTCCTTCCTTGAAGCTGGTTTCTGAAGATGCTGCAGTGTAACAGTTGTCTGCAGTGGTTTCATGAGGCGTGTCTACATTGCTTACAGATGCCCATGCTCAACGGAGATAGGTGCAAATACCACTATGAGTGTTTCATACTCACCACACTGCCTTTTTTGTATTACTGCTTGTGTAACAATTCCTGTCATGTCCTCACATTTACCTTGGGAAACAGTAAAGTGCCAGGCTTTAAAATATGTCACCCAATCATTTTGCATTGTAATAAGCTGACACATTTCTTGTGTTTGTGTAACTTTAGGTTTTATCAGTTCATTTGTTCCGTTTGTCGTCGTGGACCGGAGTGCCTCAGGCGACTGCCTCTCAGATGGTAAGTAAATCTTAAGTTTCATGTTCAGCTTTGGGACAGATAGATATGTTCCAGTCTTATGTGCATTAGGGTTGGGTGATGTGTTAACATTTTCCAACCAGCTAGTACGGCAGGCTGCACTGCTGTCTGATATAGAGGCATCAGTAATGAATTGAGACTGTTTCATAACCGATTTAAAAACTCCATGTAGTCACGTTTAAGAGCAGTCCACTTCCGTGTTTTGGTACAGTCGGTTTTCAAACCTAATGCATACTGTACTGGAGTACATGTGAACTGTACTAGAGACCACCTTTTCAACTGGATTTGGGTACAAATTGACGAATCGTGTCTGTGTACGGTACACAGTGTTCACACTAATCAAAGAACTGGACTTTGTGGTCAAATGTACTCGAATCTAGGCCTGTGTCCCTGATGTGAAAAGCCCCCTTGGTTTGTTTTTTTCTTCTGTTCCAACAATCACCAACTCTGGTTTGGTTGAAACACCCTAAATTCATAGAGTAAGTTGTGTTAGGCTCCAATCACACAGAAAGTGTTTTGGAGGTTGCAAAACATGAGGCGTACTGCACCGCTTTTTTTTTTTTTAACTGAATGCCAATAGTAAAAAAAAAACAAAAAAGATTAAAAAAACAAACAAAAACCCCATCACCTTCTTACCCTAACCTTCCCTTGTAATCATTCTCCCCCAGTAATTAGTAGCTCGTTATTAAAAATGTTGAGGCAGAGGGTACTTGCTGTAGCTCTGGTTGAGGTTGAGAGGCTGTCAGCAGATGGTTTGTTGGGCACAGGGAAACAGAGATCTGTGTGGGTACATGAGACCCTAAAAAAGAGGGTGGATCACAGGGAGTACCACCAGTTGGTCCAGGAGCTTCATCTCCATGATGGCCTTTTCCAGGCATATTTTAGGATGACTTGGGGGCAGACCTGCTGTCTATCATCGGGCCGTACAGCTCTGGGTATCCAGCAACCGCTACCACTAGTCTCCCTCCAATGTTTACCAACTGTAAACCTGTTGTCGTGACCACCACAGAAGGCCCGCCTCTCAAATCATTCGATTGGACAATGGGGAAAAGTCTAAGATGTAGTGCATTTTTCCGCTCTGAGCGGAGTTATTTTTTTCTTCAACTTGAGGAGTTCAGAGTGCTCTGGCAAAAACGACAGGCACCTAGATTACAGAAACATGAGGCACTTCGCAACGCAAAAACGGTTATCAAAAAGCTTAATTCTCAGAAAAAACAACTACGAAAAGCCGCCTCCAGCTGCTAAATGCTTCCTGTGTGATCAGGGCCTTAATATGCTGGCTTTACACACAGTTTTTCCCCTCAGTCTCAATCTGTGAGCTGAGTAACGTCTCTCACTTGTTCTTTGGAGGCAGACCTTTAAATCAGACACATAAAATGCCAAAAATCGCCGAATTATAACCACCACTGTGTTTTTAATGTGCCGTTATGCCTTACCATGTCTCTGAATTCCTGCATCTTCTAGACATACTTAATTTTGTTTTATAATGTTCTCCTGGAACCGGACTAAGTAAAGAAAATTCAGTTCTTACTCAAATGTTTCAGGGAGGATGTCACACACCTGAGTTTGTTCAACTTGAGTGTGATCCACAAGAAGAAGTACTTTGACTCTGAGATGGACCTGATGGCTTACATCAACGATAACTGGGATCTGCTGCAGCTGGGGGAGGTAAGGACACTATTTATCAGGTTACATGTGACTGTTCAATAACTTTGATTTGTAACACACTAGAGGCCAATTCTGGGGACACACAGACACAATTTGATGTTCTCACATGTATTTGTGTAGAGTAATATTTAGTCTAATATTAAAGAGTGGATGTTCAGAATTGGCAGTCTGCTACATATTAGTGGTTTCCACACTATGTAGCTGCTTAATGCAACAACACATAGCTGGTCCTGAGGACTTAATTATTATTAAATTAACAAATAAGCATTTGAAATCCTATGTTGTTGATTTTCTGAAATCTTTACCTTGTTTCTTTTTCTTGCACCCTGTCTTTCCTGTTTGGCGATCTGCTCTCCCCCGTGTCTGCAGCTCGCCAACACTCCCAGATCAGAGCGATATGAAAATGTTCTGGAGGCATTAAACAACAACAGCAACATGTAAGTTATTCATTTACTGGTTAATCATTTATGTTAATCGTATCCTGAAAGTGTTTAACCATATGACTTTTTATAACTCCAATGTGTCCTGTTTGTACCTGTCATTACCCGCCCTCCTTCTCTCTCCCTTTCCAGGTTCATGTCGGGGAAGGAGGTGAAGAAAAAGAAGCATTTGTTTGGGCTGAGGGTCCGTGTCCCTCCTACTCCCCCCAATTCTCATGAGCCGACCAGCAGAGCGCTGGAGAGGGCTTCACATGAGATCACCATCAAGGGCTGCAAGTCCACCAAGGCGCTATCTGGCATTAGGTAAGATGTGAAACCTACAAGTTCTGAAGTTTGGTATTTTTAAATATTTTTGGTAGGACATCGGACCAAATCCCAACGCTGGTTTCAGTGCCTCATTTTGGTGCCAGACTGTGCTCAGCGAGTGTGTGGTTGAGAAATAATGTGTGTGATGGTGACTCATGACAGTGAGGCTGCAGCGACTTGAGCAGAGAGTATGAAGTTAAACGTAGCAGTGCAGCGTGTGAACAGTTCAGGCTGTTTGTCATTAAATAAATGGTACAACTCCTCAAGACCCATGCCAAGTTCCTGTGTCCTGCTTTTCACCTGCTGATCAAAGTAAAGAGGGTTAGCCCTGAAGTTAGTGAGCCAAGTTAGCCTCCCTTAAGGTGGACTGTAAAGGTAGACCAGCTAATCTCATTGTAGTGACAATCTCAGCTGCTCCTACACAGGTTATAGAGAAATGTCTGGCTGCCAAGTCTCTCCCAGTTATTGTAGTTGGGTTATGTTTTATCAATTATGTGAATTTGTAAATAGTGTTTTGTATATATTCATTCATAAATTTAAGTGTACTTTGACACATGAAGAGATAATGTTGTTCAGTTTCAAATGTGTCTTTGCAGTAAAAAGAAAAACGCTTTTTAATGTTGTTGACTGCCAATATATGCTCTTTTTTTTTTTTCTTTTCACAATATCAGTTTAGGCACCATTTTAAAAGTATCATTTTAGCACACTGGTATTGGAAAAAAAACAATGATACCACCGTAATCATGCCTGGTTACTGCCCATAGTGCATCAATAGAGAAGAAAAGGGAGAGGTGCAGTAGAAAAATCAACAGATTCTGACAGGCTTCTTAAAGAGGAAATTTATCGGGTCAGTTGATCAAGTATATTGCTAATTAAAGTTTTTCCTTTAATTGTTGTGAAGAATGCCTAAATTTAGAACTGGTGCCAAGTAAATGGAAATGTGTAATTTTTTTTTTTTTTACTGATAAATTTTAGGCTGCTTTCACACCTGCCCTGATTGGTTCGGTTTAGTTGAACTCCTAGTTTGCCCCCTAAGTGCAGTTTGTTTGGGCAGGTGTGAACATAACAATCACACTCAGGTGCACACCAAAACAACTGAACTGAGACCTTCTTGAAGAGGATACAAACAAACTCTGGTGTGGTTCATCTGTGGTGAGAACGTGCTCCCGACCTCGATCTGAACCAACTGCAGTCACATGACACATTGTTTGGGTTAAACATGAGCATGTTACAGTCCTGGAGGATTATTAATGTGCACCTCCTCCTGTACTGCCTTAATATGCACATTCAGCACATCCATTGCATCAAAACATTGTTTTCTAGTTGGAGCCACGCCTCATTTTCAAACTGTATGGTTTGACTAAAATGAACAATGACAGCAGTAGGGGTGGGAATCTTTGGGCACCTCACGATTCGATAACGATTAAGATTCAGGGGCTACGATTCGATTATAAAACGATTATTGATGCACTTTTTCACAACACACATTTCTTTTTGTCTCACTGAATAAGCATTCAACACTTGCAATTTTTAAAAACAGTGCATTTGTAATAAGAAAGAGTTGAATTCATTTCCATTATATTTTATCAAACATATAAATGGAAATGCGTGCAAACTGGAAAATTACAACTTCGTTATATGGAACCAAAGGTAACAACAGGTATCTTAAATCCCAAGATAAAATGCGCAGTTAGAGTAACAAATGATTCGGTGGCGACAGACGTCCACGCATCACATGTAACTGCGATCCTACCTGCCTGCCTTCAACAGTGAGGCCATGACTTCTGTTTTGGTTTGGTTGTAGTGTGTCGGTAAAATAGCGTCGGGATGGGATGGTGTATCTGGGCTCCAGTGTATGCAGCAGTCCTCAAAATCCCTGATTTTCCACGACGGAAGAAGGACGCAAATCCTTGGCAATAAATGCCGCGATGGCCTTCATAATTCGCTTCGCCTTTTCCGATGAGGGTGGCAGCTTTCTAATTGCTTCCTCGATTGTTCTCCGGTCGGTAGCGCCACTAGTTGCTGCAGCAACAACAGCCTGCCGTCTCCCTGACTCCTCCGTCAGGTGGAATCGAGTTACATGGCTTCTCATGTTTGTTGTGTTGCCAAAGTATTTTATTTTAGCACGACACAGCTTACATATAACGTGGCTCTTGTCCAGTTCGCTTCCGCCATCAACGTTGTAGAAGGAGCTGTTAAATTAGAAGGAGCTGTTCGGATCTCACGGCGAGGTGGGTGGCGGTCAGCCATGTTTGTTTTCCTCTGTGCGTGTGTTGCCTGTGCTCCAGGTGCGCATCCCAAAGTGTCCCGGAGATGACACGTACCGCGCTTCTTAGTTCCACATTATTTAGAACCTTCTGTATTACTCTAATTAACAGATTTAAATAATCGAAATTTGGACGTTTGTGAATTGATTCAGATTCGTCCACGTCCGAATTGCGATGCATCTAAGATTCGAAAATTTCCCCCACTCCTAGACAGCAATATAGTCCACGATGAGCAGCGCTAAAATCAACCTGCGTAGTTGTCCCTCCATTGTGGCATTAGAAAGTGTCACATTTATCTTCCAAGTGTACTCTTCTTCAACGTTTTGTTTACTTCCTGGATTTTTCCCACATGGAAATTCTGACCAATCAAGAGCAGCTTTCTCGTGCAAGGCATTTGATCTGGTCCGCTTGTAAATGCTGTCATGAGAACACGAACCAACTCTAGGCAATTATGCAACATTGTAACAGAAGTGGTCCCTGATTCAGACCAAAGCAAGATAACTCTAGGTCTGAAAGCACCTTTAAAGCCCCAATACTTTGCTACATCTGTAGCCCTCTCGCTATTGGAGAAATGTTTTTTCTGAAGCAATGAAAAGTAAGACTCTTCTCATCTTACATCTGCTAAGGTGTGCACTATGCCCTTTAAAATACTGACAAGTCCAGAATTAAGGTTGGAAAAGCCAAAACCAGCTACACCTGCCAGTTTTATCATCGTGTAGAAGGAAGCGTGCATCTACTCATGGACAAGAGGCTTGTGTTTGGGACAGCCTGTTATGTAAACATTATTGCGTCCTCCTCAGCTGAGCTGTAATGTTAGCTAGCTCAGTGGTGCTAGGTGAGCCAGCAGTAGATGCACACTTCCTTCTGCTCGGTGATACAGTTGGTGGGTGTAGTTCAGTAGAAAGAAAATAGTTCCCACATGAAACTGCTCACAACAAGGTCTGTGGATTATCTTGAGTAACCAGGTCATGATTTCTGTAAAGACACATTGCTGTTGAGTTTTTCAAATGTATTTTTTAGAGCTTTGATCACCACAAGCCGAGTTCCATTTAGTTCCATTATATTGGAGAGAAGGCAGACATCTCTACGGCTGATATCTCCAACACTTGACAACTCACACCAAAACAATCTAGACTGATAATTACCTCTACTGGTAAGAGGAAAAATATGCATCTTTGATTTCAGGGTGAACTGTCTCTTTAAGAGTGACAGTGTCATTAGTGCATAACTGTCATTACTTGTGAAACTGTTTTTGTTATTGTTGCTCTAGAGCGTGCGGCAATTTAACCAATGGCACAGAGAAGAAGAAGAAGAAGAAGAAAAAGGGGAAGCAAGGAGCTCGTTCTCTGGCTAAACCACAACGCGGTGAACTCTGGCCCCAGGTGTGTGTGTGCATGCATTTGTATGCATTTCTTGGTGGGTGTGGGCTGGGTGTGTACATAGTTGTTGAGAGGGATGGGTATTGTGTGTTACTCTATAGGTCCAAACTCACACACACACACACACACACACACACACATATACTCACAAGAACTCTCAAACTGTAACTTTTTCTGGGGATACTGAGAAACTTTTAAATTAAAAAGGAAACCCACTGAGATATGGTAATTTTTTCTTGTATTTGACAGGAAGTAAGAAAGTCTCTACCACTAGAGCCCCACACATTGGATCACTTAACCTCTATCAAGTAAGTGAGCAACTGCGGTGCTGAATTTCCATTTCTAAACCATTACTACTGTTCCATTTTGTAGTGGTGAGGCTGCCATACTGTCAGGGCTGCAGCCAACAACTGTTTTCATTTTCGACTAAACTGATGGACAAATTGAGTAAATTATTTAGCTATATGTACAGGAACTGTAACAAACTTTCAGCAGCCTTTTTCTTTGTCTGTTTATAATTGTTTTATCATCATGTCTTTTTCCTGTCAACACCAGGAGTGAGAGGTCTCTGCTGTCTTCAAGAACCTCAGATGTGGAATCCATAGGAGCCCTGAGCACCACAGAAACTACCTCAACTAGCATTTCAAGACAGTCAAGGTATGCCTGCGGTGCTCATTTCTTACTCTGACATCTGTGGCTCTATAGAGGGAACTGTTGGTCTGTCTGTCGTCAGTTTTGGTCCAGACTGAAATATCTCAACAGCTATGGGATGGATTGCAATTAGGGTTTTTTTTAGACATTCATAGCCCCCTGAAGAAGAAACCTAAAGACTGTATGGGTCTTCTGACTTTTTGTCTAGCACCACTAGGAGGTTTACATTTCTGGTTTTCAGTGAAATGTCTAAAATTATTGGATGGTATAACATAAATTTAAGACAGACTTTCATGGCTCCCTCAAGTTTTTCTGTGCCACCACCAAGTCCAATATTTTATTAATACAACATACTTTCAAAATGTTTTCTCCACATTCCCATCAGCCTTAGCTGTACACTGTTTAGTGTGTACCAACTAGCAAATGTTGCTAATATACCAGACTTCTGTATTCATGTATAAATATGTACATCACACTCATGACTTGCCGAGTATTTTTCCAGAACTCTTTAAAGTCTTCCTCAAACATTCACTCATTTCACAAGACACTCTAAGGACCTTCATCTTCCATATTGTTGGACTTCTCTTAATCATATTCATTGAAATACAGAGGACCATCTCTTTGGAACAACCTTCTTCCATCTCTGCAATCATCATCTATATTATTGTTATTCAAAAAACATCTGAAGACATCTTCTTTTTATGTATGATTGTTGTTATTTCATAGTTATTTCATTTCTATGCATATGTGCAAATGAACTAAACTAAACTAAAATGTTAGAACGGTTACATGCTAAACTGAGATTTTCAGCATGGTGACATCAGCATCTTGGCGTTGTCAAGTTGCCATTATCAAAGCACTGCTGTGCTGAAGTACAGCCACTAGCATGGCTATAGACTCCTAAGCTGCTTTCACACCGCCGTGGTGTAATTCACCACCTCCAGTCGTTTTAACAAAGGGTGTCGAACACGGCATTAGGGGTGTAAAGCCGTCCACATGAACTCGCACAAGGTTCGCTGTGTTAAAATTCATGCGGTGGTCGCTGGCTTTTGCCATTTAGCTAGAAGGGGAGCAGGCACTGTGGAAGCAGAGAGACGACAAGATGGAGTTGATAATGTTGGTGTCTAAATACCCTGAGTTGTACAACACAGTGCTAGAAACTTGTTCTGACAATTAGACGAAAAAGTGGTCCTACATTCTGCATTGCTTACTTGCTCTGTTTACTGTAAGTCCATGCTGCAGCTGCCCCTACAAAGTACGTTATACTGTTGTATGGAGTGTGCATACTATGTGGACATAATACTTTCTCGTACCATTGCACTTTAAACTTTGACCCTCTTGCTCATTTCTCAGTTTAATTTCCTTAATGCGAAATTCGAAATGATAGGAAAAATTTGGGATTTGGTTTACAGCATGGGCCTGGGATAACATTTCCACCAAACTTTAGATGACTGGTAAATTGTACACATATGTAGAATTATTTGCTAATTTAAGTGATTTCAGTTCCTTGCTACAGTTTGCAGTTATTTACACGACACCAGGCGACCTCACATTGAAGCAACTGCAGCAGTGGCAGCTTTTAAAAATGCCTTGTTTCTTTGGGGGATTGCTCGCGCAGGTGTGTGGTTGTCAGGGCGGTTGCTGCACAGCATTATGAAACCAGCTGTAGTCTTGTTTGTGTAATTCCCCTCTGTATCCTTTTGTTTTTAATACCGTCAGAATTAAAATAAATTTTTTTGACTTCCTCTTTTCCTGTCAAACCCCCTCCAGCCTCTGCAGCTCTAGCAAGACACACACGACAGCCTGCACCATGCCTGTTTCTGCTCCACCCTTAAAAAGGAAACGCGGGCGGCCTCGAAGGGCCCTGCAGCCCCCCAACCCAGAGATCCCCCCTCCTAGCCACGCAGACCCAAACCCCTCAGCGACGGAGATGCTGAGCCCGCTCCCTGGGCTTCACTCCACAGACATAGTTCACAGCATGGACCCCAGCAGCCAGCTCTCCCACCTCAAGAGCTCCATCAGCAGCTATTTCGGAGCAGCAGGGCGGCTGGCTTGTGGGGAAAAATACAAAGTCCTGGCGAGACGGGTCACCCTTGACGGCAAGGTGCAGTACCTGGTGGAGTGGGAAGGAGTCACTGCCTCGTAGGCCTGTCATCACCATCATCACTTCTAACTTTTAACCTGCGCCTGCAAGACGTTTCTGGCTGTGCTAAGGACACGTGTGTGCACAGCCTGTGTGCAGAGCATTAATAGTTATATGCCTTTGTTTAGTTTAGACAGGAGCAAGTTTTGCCTGTTCGGCTCACTGCAAAGCCTTCTGGTCCAGTGCACATTGAAACATGTCTTTTCCTCCTGTGCTTAAAGACTCACTGATAAAGACGACGAGGCACTGTCATTGTACCACAGCGTGTTTGTGTTACTCTGCTTTTAATTTTCATTATTTGCTTTGAATGTTTACAGCAACCCCCGTCCCCATATTCAGGGGCAAATAACTGATCGGTGCACTGCATCTGTCGGCTTTCAGTGAATCGTCATTGTACTTAATTTCTAATCCAGTGATATGCTTTTCATTTCCAGACCAGTTATGTTTGAAATTGTGTTTTTGACAGAATGTAGTTGGTCAGGCATAAAATGGTAAATCTTGGAGGGTAAGAGAAAGAGGGGATGCTTTGTTGAAAGATTGATTACCATTTATTTTCTCACCAATTGGGTTAGGAAACACGTGTCCATTTGCGACACTGTCCTCTCCTTCTCTTATCCCAGCAATGAGTACCTCTTGTCGTCTTGGGCAGACATATCCTTTAGGTGTGTTTTGGAAAGAGGAACTCAAAACAAAAGAGATGTGCTGCTGCAAATGTTTAATTTTATATAGAATTATACTACATTTATTATCACCTTTTCCACATTTGTATTTTCTCATATGCTTTTTTTTTTCTTCTCTTTTTTTTCTAAATTATGGATTGCACATATCAAATTATATCCGTTAGGCCGTCATCTCAGTGTGAACAGATAATTTGAGGCAGCATTTTCATCCACGATAGTGTTCTTGATATTTTATGTTGATTATATCTCCCTGTTTAAATTAAAATGTGACATTTAAAAAAACAATATCCCCAAGTGAAGTGTTAAAAAATATCAGTGTATAAATGTGCAGAAACCAAGGATGACTTCTTGTACATTGTAAATCACCTGAATTTTGTTTTCATAGTACAGTTTTTTTCCCAGAAGCTCCGCTGCCTTAGTTTAAACGCTTAACCTTTAAAACATCTTGATTTGAAAGTGATTAAAACGACTGTTAAATGTTGACTGAAATCCTTAAGGACCTATTTAGTTTTTACTTTGTCTCATAGTTATTGAAAAAAAAAAGTGCTGCATAAGATGAATGTTGTATACCCAGTTCCCATATCTAGAATTAAGTTTTGTTTTTGTTTTTTTTGTTTTTTTTTTTGTTTTTTTTTTGTGTGTTGCCTATGCAAGTTAGTCCCGGATGAACGTGTTGTTCAATCATATATTTGGACCATACAGCTTAACAAAGGGGAGTTACCGATTTGACTCAGTCGTTGAAATATTTCGTGTGACGGGTGCAAAAATGCACTTGTATTTTTGCTTTCATTGTCAGGTTCACCTTGTGTACACACTCAGGATACGCCCAATAACTTCACTGTATTGAATTGGCCCACGTTTGCAGCTCGACAGGAGGTTAAGATGTAAGTTATACACTCAGTGTTGTCGGTCAGTATTTTTATATCGGGTCCTCTTTTTGTCACATTACTTTTGGATCATATGTATGTATGTTTTTTTTCTGAGCAAAAGAATTTGTAGTCCTTTTTTTTACTGCTACACTTGCTTGTTTAAACTGAGTCAGAAAACAATCACTGGAAAACTAATATGCTGTATGTCATTGCATGAGGTAAATATTCAGTTCTCTTTTCTTTTTTGAGATGTTTCTATTTTTTTTTTTTTTTTTTAATTAAAATGGACAGAGCTTTTTGACATTGATACCTCTTCAATGTAGGGATGTAGTCAGTGCATTTGAAGCTTCTCTCCTCTGTTCAGCCAGTGTCTTAAGCCTTCATGTTGCTACCACTGGCTTCCAGCAGGCTTCTGTAGCCAAAGAACATACGTGTAACGTCTGTTTTGTCTCTTGAGATTCTTCGTCTTACATTTTTATACATCATTATATAGGCTGACGTGTTACTTCTGAACCTGTTTAGTTAAAGGATGAATAAAAGCCGATATTTTGAGCTGTTGTGTTGCCTGTTTGATGTTTATTTGCTGCCTTTGGAGCCTCTTCATTCAATAGTGATGGGCAAAAATGGACAAACAAATCTTTTTAAACGACTCTTTAGTGTATGGTAAGTAGCAGATTGACATGTTGAACATCTGAGTGCTCATGACTCTGTAACTGAGTGAATGAGGGTGGACTGATTGGATTGGACTTTGGCTGAGACCTCCAGTAGAGCATTCAGGTGCTCCTCGAATGATGGTTCTTCTAAATTTGGTGTGTTCATGAGCTTTAAGTTGTAATGTGGAGACAACATGGGCACTTCAAAGAAGCTGTGCTGTATTTTATTGCCCAGAGTGTTTAAATAGCTCGTTGATAATGAAGAGCAAAGTTAACGAATCATGGGAACCATAAAATAGGATCGGCAAGTAATTTTTCAGATTATTCCAACACCCCATGATTGCAGCATGAGGCTATGATGGTGTCTGGGATATCTGCTACTTTGCTCGTCGAAGAATAACAGATCATTGGTCACTGACATTTCTGTCATATCATGATGTTATGTTGCGTTCACATGGAATCAAAGATGTTAGATGGTGGACTAGATATCATTTTAGGGCACAAGTCTTAGGTGAGGCTGCAGAGAATACCAGTAACGGTAATGGCAGACGGCATTGCCGTTTAAAGAAACTTGCTGTATTACTTGTTTATTAAATTGGGTGGTAAATTGCTTGGGGATAGTTGTGTTTTAGTTGTAAATAAATTTGGAAATTTGTTGAAATAAGAAATGTAAGAAAGGAGTAGGGACATATAAGTTTTATGTCTACCTACTTCTGTTCAGACACTGTTTTCTTTGTCTTGTTTTTTTTTATTACTTAAAAAAATCAAAATAAAGTTTGAATAAAAAAATAATGAATAAAAATAAAAATATTTTGCTGTCCCCTGCAGCGGAATTTACAACCATATGTTATGTAACTGTGATGTGACTCTACCCAAAAACTAATTTAATTTAATTAGAAAAACCTTCACAGGGAACCTACTTGTTGCCCTGTGCACGGGGAATTGTAATGGTGTGACACGTCGTATTATCTTACATTATCTTACATTATTTCCTGTTTAAATGGGTGTGTTATTGGTACTTTGTTGTAATTTCAAAATGTTTAAAATGACTGAATCATTTTGTTTATAGAGTCTATTGCGCACAGATATGAATTCAGGTGTGCCTTGGGCCCATAAAGTTTGAAAACCACCGGCCGACCTATATACGACGCTGAATCAATGCATTAAAACTAATATTTTTATTAATGTAAACTTTTACATGGTGACTAGTGATACATTGAAGAGAAGTTTTTGGGTTGGGCAGCACTAGCTGAACATGCATGTACCATTACAACAGATTGTCACTAAGAATGTGAAACCATATTTAGGTGTTAAGGTTTAGGGTTTAAAAGCTTTTCTACATTTACGTGTATCAACTCAAACGCACCGATTCTGAAAGCAGACTCGGTCTGCCCATCACTACCGTTGTAAATCTGACAGTTCCAGTGCACGCGCCAGTGTTCGCGGCCACTGCCATTGACAACGCTCTCCACCAATCACATCACACACAGCCAGAGCTCGTCCAATCACAAACCGCGTTGTTAGGATGTAGGCGGAGACTGAAAATACAAATAATTCCGGCTCCCTTACCTTCTACTACGTCTACACTGTGAAGTTTGGTTCAACTACTAAGTTTCAAATACATCTTATTTTTTACTTTTGTAGCGCCAGGACGACACATTTTAATATGTAATATAAAACGTAACGCTAAACGTTGTCTATTCGGGTAGTTTTGCAGTAGCTTTTATTAGAAGGATAACGTGAGCTAGCTAACCACCTGTTGATACAGTGAGCATCTTTGTTTACATGTAGCGAGCGTAGCTAAGCTAGCTGCTAGTGTGTCATGCTCTGCCAGTAGTCACAGATGTTTTAACGGTATGTTGATGAGCTAGTTGTCGGTGTTGTTTACCTCTCCAAACATTCTCATACGTTTGAAGTGATAATCTCAGTCGGTTTGATTAGCCTAAGCTAACATGCACTCATCATTACTCTGATGTTTGATAACGAGAGGAGTTTAACGGAAGATGTGGTCAGTTTGACGAATCTGCTGCGACTGACGGAGCTTAGTCTACAAAGTGTGGAGCAGAGACTGAGGTGAGCAGCCACAGTCACACAGTGAACCACCTGTTAATAGCTACAACACCTGTGAACCTACAGCCTCCAGTGGAGGACATTTAAAAGGAGTCAGAGTGATGCTGTGTATCTTTCTCTCTTGATTTCTTCTTCCCTGATTTTCTGTGTACACCATCTACAGTCAGTCAGAAGGGCATGATGACAGAAGTGAGTGTGAGCAGGAGAACCCAGATTTCCTGACCTTACAAGGCCAGCAGACACCTGATGTTCCTCCATCCCAGTCAGACTGTGTTTGCCAGGAGAGGCCTCTCAGTGGGACGACTGAGAGACGAGCTGTTGCTGGCAGTCTCAGCCCACCTTCATCCAGCTCTAAGGTGAGAAAGAGAATATTCGTCACTGAAACAATAAGAAACAGCCACCCAGATATACTGTGCATCCTACATTTTATTTGTATAGCACGTTAGTGTTTCACTTAATTGTTGAGCTTTGCTCTGATGAAGGTCTAATAGACGGAAAGCTCAACAATAAAGTGAAACACTTTGGACTTAATTGATGTTTTCAGCACCTTGCCAAGACCAAGCTGGGTGGAGTGGTGGTTGTTCTGCATCATTTGTATAGCGCTTTAAAAGGTACTCAGAGGCAATTTACACGTTCATTAAGACAGTCACAGAAACAGTAAAAGCGATAACAGTATAAATGCAGTGACAGCAATGAAAAGGAAGAGAGGGATAATAGATCACAGATTAAATTGGATTTAAAGGTCCAGTGTGTAGGATGTAGTGGCATCTAGCAGTGAGGTTGCAGAACTGAAGCTTCCCATACGTGCCAAGCGTGTAGGAGAATGATGGTGGCCGACATGAAAACCCACATGGCCCTATCTAGAGCTAGTGTTTGGTTTGTCCGTGCTGGGCAACTGTGGAAGAGGACCCGCTCTGTATGTGGATATAAACGGCTCATTCTAAGGTACCAAAAACATAACGATGCTTGGTTTCAGGTGATTTTAAACTAACATTGCTATGAATATTCCATTTCCGCCAATTTCTGCCCCGCACACTGGACCTTTTAAAAGTGGACTTAAATAGGTAGATTTTTAGTGCGGTTTTAATGGATGAGAGTGAGGGAGAATGTCTGAGGTGTTGTAAGGTGATGAAGGTGTCAATAAGTGTTTCAGTGGCTGCGAAGAAGTGGGAGGAGTGAAGACAGGCAATTATTTTAAGATGAAAAAGTCTGTTTTTGTTGTTAATGCTGCGTTTGAAGGAGAGAATTCGATCAAAGATGACACCAAGGTTACAGATGTGTATGAAAACAGGAACACTGGAGCCACTTTTGCAGTGGGAAAAATTGTGGCTGGATTTGTTGAGGGATTTGGAGCCACATGATGAAGATTTCAGATTTGTTGTTGTTGAATTTGAGGAAGTTAACTTGCGACCAGGATTTTATATCCATGAGGCAGTTTGTGAGGGTGGAAGTAAGTGATGTGATGGAGATGTAGAGCTGGCAAAATGGAGGCCATGGTGGCGTATGATGGAACCATTGACATTGTCTTATGTGTGCAAGCGTATATAACCAGAAATCTCCCTTTACTGAAAACACTGGTAAATAGATAAATTAAACCACCTCTGCAGGTTGCCAGTAGAATGTATTTACAAACAATAGGGTAATTACATCAGTAGCAGTTGTCCCTGTAGTGCTTTTGTTACAGTCAATTTCCCAAGAACATTTTATGAGATAGCGTCTTTGTGCAGCAAACTGTATCTCATAATCCAAAGGTAAATAAACAAACCACAAAACACCTCTCACCACAAGGACATCTCCTTCCTGTTCAGTCTGCCTCATTCAAGGCCAGGTCTGTAGGGATGGAGTCTTTCTCTACCAGGAGGAAGGGGGGCTGTTTGCGTCAGGAGAACGCCTGTCTGACTGTGCAGGATGAGCAGCTCATCAGTGACCTTGATGCTCTGCAGTACGAACTGTCCACCTCCAAGTCACAGGTATGATGATCATCCCTATACGGGTAGTTAAGATGGGTCTTTCACACAAGATTGTGTACAAATCTGCACCTCTCTATCTATTTAATTATTTAAATCTAGTAAAAAAAAAACATTCTCTTTATATACAACCTTTTTATATACAGCTACATTTCAATAAAACAAGCTGCCTGTCTCACTTAAACTAAACCCAGTTGAGAGCAGTGTTAAATCAGATCATAAATCTGATGTAGGTCTATAAATGCCTGATGTTTTATTGTCTGTTTGTGTGGGGGGTTTTTTAAGTTTACTGGTACTCTTGCTTTACACTTCGGTATACAATCTGGCTTTTTTGTGTATTTTAATCCTTGACAATTTTAAGTATCATACATGGGGTCTGTCACTGTGATCAGCCTGTTGTGTATGTTTTAAATTATGTCAAATGAATCCATCTCTATCTATGATTTGTGAGAATTAAGCTGCTATAATCTTAAGTGTTATCTTGTGCTTTGTTTGTGTGCTGATAATGAGTATTGTGTGAAGTCTGTTTTGGTCTGCTGTATATTCACTTAAGCTGTGAGGCCACAACATTAAAAGAATAAGAAATATTAAAGCTCTGTGAAGCTGTAGTAGTGGATACATAACGCTGTATGTGTTGTCTTTTTTTAGGTCCGCCTCAGAGGCCCCAAGGTCGGGGTTAAAAACAGTGTCACAGTCATGAGTGAGCAGATTCGTCAGCTTCAAGCAGAGCTGGAGACTCAAGCTACAGAACTAAAGTAACCCCATGACCACAACATAGACTACTGTAGATGTTGTTATTTATGTAATTCTAATGTGGCAGTTGCCTTCTTTTTTTAATCCCACTGGATACTGAGTTGTTTGT